TCCCAGTACAATCTTTTTTTCCACCCCTTATTTTTTTTTCTTAATATCATCACATCAATACTAACTTATACCCACACCCTCTGTTTATTAATATTTCTTCTAACTGCCCTAATAGAGATACAGTTCTCAAGAGTTACAAGTGTCATCTTCCTATCTAGGAATGTAAACAGTTTAATTTTATTTAATAACATGTTTCTTTCTTTCCTGTTTATCATTTTATGCTTCTCGTGAGTCTTCTATTTGATGATCAGATTTTCTGTTAAGCTCTGGTCTTTTCATCAGGGAAGTTTGAAAGTCCCCTATTTCATTGAGTGACCATCTTTTCCCTTGAAAGATTATACTCAGTTTTGCTGGGTGGTTGGTTCTCTGTTATAATCCAAGCCCCTTTGTCTTCCAGAATGTCATATTCCAAGCCCTCCAATTCCTTAATGTAGAAGCTGCTAAGTCCTGTGTGATTCTGACTGTGACTACGTAATATTTAAATTGTTTCTTTCAAGCTGCTTGTAATGTTTTCTTCTTGACCTTACAATTCTGGAATTTGGTTACAACATTCCTGGGACTTTTCATTTTGTGATCTGTTTCAGGAGGTGATCAGGGGATTCTTTCAATTAATATTTTACTCTCTAGTTCCAGGACCTCAGAGCAGTTTTCCTTGATAGTGTCTTGAAAGATGCATTCCAGGATCTTTTTCTTTTCCTTCTTTTTTGTCTCTTTTTGAGCATGGCTTTGAGGTAGTCCAATAATTATTAAAGTATCTCTCCCGGATCTATTTTCCAGGTGAGTTGTTTTTCCAATGAGGTATTTTACATTTTCTTCTATTTTTTTCCCTCATTCTTTAGATTTTGTTTGACTGATTCTTGATGTCTCAAAGAATCATTATCTTCAACTTACCAAATTCTTATTTTTAAGGAATTATTTTATTCAATTAACTTTTCTTCCTCCTTTTCCACTTGGCCAGTTGTACTTTTTATTTAATTTTTTTAAATTTTTTTTCCATATGCTTTTGAGTTGAAAATTTTTCTCCCTTTTCCTCCCCCCCACCCTCCCAAGATGGCACACAATTTGATATAGGCTTTACATTTACATACCCATTAAACATATTTTCACATTAGTGAAGTTGTAAGTAAAAACTAAAAACAATACAAGGATCCATCAGAAAGATGAAACAAAACTCTACAGAAGGTAAAAATGAATGATAGCGATTCGACTTCCATAGTTCTTTCTTTGAATGTGAACAGCATTTTCCATCCCGAGGCCTCTGGAAATGTCTTAGATCCTCGTAATGCTGAGAAAGATTCAGTTTAACAATCTTAGTCATTGCATAATGTGGCTGTTATTGTGTACAAAGTCCTCTTGGTTCTGCTCACTTCCCTCAGCATCAGACCATATAAGTCTTTCCAGGTTTTTCTGAAGTCAGCCTGTTCATCATTTCTTACAGTACAATAGTATTCCATTACATTCATGAACCACAACTTGCTCAGCCATTCCCCAATTGATGGGCATCCTCTCAATCAGTTTTACTTTTTAAGGAGGCATTTTATTCCATGTTTTTTTTTTTCCCATTTGGCAAATTTTATTTTTTATGAAATTGTTTCTTTTTTCAGTCCTTTTCCTTCTTTTTCCAAGCTGCTGACTCACTCTAGTATACCTTCTCTTCTCTTTTCCTAATGTTTTCTTCTACTTCTCTTATTTGATTTTTTAAAAATCCTGTTGAGCTCTTCCAAGAAGGATTTTTGGGCTTGAGGCCAATTCATCATCACCTTTGAAACTTTGCATGTCGGTATTTTGACATTATCCTTTTCTGATCTTGTGTATTGATCTTCCCTGTTATGATAGTAGGTGTTTATGGTCAGGGCTCTTTTATGTTTTTGCTCATTATTAAGCTTATTTCATAACTTTTAAAGTTGGGCTCTGCCCCTGGGCCTAGGGGACACTGTCCCAAGCTGCCTGTGCTGGGAGCTGCAGACTCAGTCACTAGCTTTCTGCATCAGGAACTCAGGTGCTTTTGGGCTGCTCATTGTGCTGGAGTGGCCGGGCCTAGTTGTGTTTGTTGTGCTAGGAGTTCAAGGGCTGGCATTTTGCCTTCTACACTGGGTTTAGAGGCCTCAGAGATGGCCTGCCATGCTAGGATAGAGGGGTCTTGATTGCTGATCTGTGCTATGGCTAAGAGCCATCCTATGGCTTACCCAAAAAGTGCATACCGTGGGCTGCACTCCCCTTTTACCAAATTGAGACAGATTTTTCCTGAAATCCTTTTAAGTTATCAGAAGCTAGAAAATTTCACTCCAACTTTTTATAGGTTCTGTCACTCCTGAATCCATTTAGAGGCTTGTTTTAATATTATTTCTGAGGGAAACTAGGGAGAGCTCAGAAAACTTTCTTTGCCATCTTGGCTTAGTCATTATTTTTAGTAACTTTTCTCTGGCCTCTTATAATAATATTCTAATATGTCTCTCTGACTCAACATTGTCTCCATTACAAATCATCCTCTAAAAATGTGTCAAAGTACCTTTTTTTTTTTCTAGAGCATAGGTCTTCCCTTGATGTCTCCCTACTCATCAAAGTCTAGGCTTCCTGTTACCTCCATCCTGAAACATAAAGTATTTTCTTTTGCATCTAAAGCTCCTTCAAACCCCACAGTCTTCTTACCTATCCTGTCTTTCCATGTCTCCTTCCCTCCTCACACAGTATGAGCTATCCATACTAGCTTCCTTGCTTTTTTTAAAGAAATATTTGATTATTTTCCCATTTTTATTATAAAATTTTTATTTTTAAGTTATGAAATAAAACAAGCATTTCCATAATATAATGCAATAAAAAAAAGATCATTGCACATGAAACTGCAAATCTAGTGTGCCAACTTCCTATTCTTTTCAAATATACAACAAAATTTTCGTGGAAATTACTTTTTTCTTCCCTTCCACCACCACCTTAGAGATGGCTGCATTAGACATAAATAGGTGTGAGTGTGTGTGTGTGTGTGTGTGTGTGTGTGTGTGTGTATGCAAGTGTAAAATTATTCTATACATATTTCTATTTATCAGTTCTTTCTCTTGATGCAGATAACAAGTTTCTTCATATGTCTTTTAGAGTTACTTTGGGTATTTATAATAGTCAAAATAACTTATTTTAAGTAGTTCTTAAAACAGTATTGCTATTCCTTTATACAATATTGTCTTGGTTCTACTCATTTCACTCTTCAATATTCTGTGCAAGTCTACCCATGTTTTTTTTTTTTCTAAAATCATTGAGCTCATCATTTCTTATAGCATGGTAATATTCTGTCACAATTATATACCACAACCTATTCAACCATTCCTCAATGGATGGGCATCCCTGAAATTTCACTTCTTTGCTATCACGAAGGGAGCTGATAAAACATTTTAGAACAAATAGGTTCTTTTCCTTTTTCCCTAATTATCTTCAGAATTATACCAAGTAGTGGTATTGCTGGGTCAAACAGTATAGGTAGCTTAGTAACTCTTTGGGCATAATTCCAGATTGCTCTGTAAAATGGTTGGATCATTTCCCAATTCCACTGACAAGTCCTACTTTTCTATATCTCATGATACTACATCTTTCCTGTCTGTATTTGTACTGGCTATTCTCTATGCTTGAAATTATCTCTCTCCTCAGCTCCAAATCTTAGAATCTGTGGCTTGTTTTAAGTATTCAACTCAAATCTCATCTTATGTGACACATTTTTCTTTTCTGTTTTAGTTTTTTTTTAATTATTTTATTTCAATTTATCAAAAATGACTTCCATAAGCTTTTGAGTTTTAATTTTTTCTACCTCTCCCTTCTGACCTCCCTCCCCAAGATGGCATGCAATTTGATGTAGGCTATACATATACATTCATATTAAAAATATTTTCATATTAATCAAGTTGTAAGGAAGAATTAGAACCAATAGAAGGAATCACAAGAAAGAGGAAACAAAAAGAAACAGAAGGAAAAAAAAATCAAACAGTATGCTTCAAACTGCATTCAAACTCCATAGTTCTTTCTTTGGATATGGATGGTATTTTCCACCTTGAGACTTTTGGAGATGTCTCAGATCCTTGCATTCCTGAGAAGGACTAAGTCTATCAAAGTTGGTCATCATACAACATTGCTGTCACTGTGTACAACATTCTCTTGGCTCTGCTCAATTCACTCAGCATCAGAGCATACAAGTCTTTCCAGGTATTTTGGAAGTCTGCCTGTTCATCATTTCATATAGGACAATAATATTCCATTACATTCACATACCACAACTTGCTCCACCATTCCCCAATTGATGGGCATCCCCTTACATTTCCAATTCTTTGCCACCACAAAAAGAGCTGCTATAAATATTTTTGTACTTGTGACTCCTTTTCCCATGTTTTTATGATCTCTTTGGGATACAGCCTTAGAAGTGCTATTACTGGGCCAAAGGTTATGCACGTATTTATAGCCCTTTGGAAATAGTTCCAAATTGTTCTTCAAAATGGTTGGATCATTTCACAACTCCAACAACAATGCATTAGTGCTCCAATTTTCCCACATCTCCAACATTTATCATTTTCCTGTTTTATCATGTTGGACAATCCCATAGGTGTGATGTGTGTAAGAGAACTTCCCCTACCCCCCAAATAGCTCATGTTTTCGTCTCTGAGGATCCCTTTCATTTATTCTATATCTTCTAATTTACATGTCTTTCCTCCATTAGAACATAAGCTCTTAAAGGGCTGGGGGTATATTTTTCCCTTTATATTGCCTGTGATTAGTACAATGATTGTCATGTAATAGTTTAGTAAATGCTGGTTGATTTGGTGAGAAAAAATTGAATGAATGAATATAGGAAAGTAATGGCATTTGTTTCCCAAATCCATTCAGGACCATTTGAGTGACCAAGACTCCATCACTCATCACTTAGTTTCCCTCTGCCTTTCTTACATGCTGAATATCACTTTGCATGTGAGTCTTTTTCCTTAGGATCACCATGTCAGTAATCTATTTTGCCTTCTTATTCCTAGTGAGAATGTCTCAGTTGTTGGAGATAAAACAATAACCAGGGTACTGAGCATCAAAAAAGTGACCTCTGATGACCTGAAGCGCAACTACACTTGTCATGCAAGAAATGCCAAAGGAGAATCTGTAAAGCGAGCCACCGTCAAACAGCTAGGTAACCTCACCTGTGGGGCCATAGTGTATGAGCACTCACAGTATAATAGTCATTCCTTCCTGGAGGCTCAAAATTTGTTGGGGACTTTTTCCATGTTTTTTATAATTGTCTCTACATATAATTGGCTTCCTTCATAATCCTATATATTTCATTTTGTGCTTAAAAACAACTCATTATTGGAGAAGTCCATAGGCTTCATCAGACATAGCCAAAGGCATCTAGGATACACACAGACATAGACACAGACACACAAAAAGACACACACGCACACACACACACACACACACACACACACGCACACACACACGCACCATGAAAAATTTTGGAACCAGAATGACGATGGTAACATATCACAATGCAGTCCTAATCAGCTTTGAAGAGAAGGTTCAGGGAGGCTATGGCCACTGAATGACTTCAAGAATTTGAGCATCTTTCACGTGGAGGGTGTGGTGGTTAGTGTTGTTCTGTTCACTTGCAGAGGACAGGAAAGAGTAAAAGTTAAAAAGAGACAGATGCAGTTTCAGTATCTGGAAAACCTTCCTAACGCTTGAAGCTGTCCCCATTTAGAATGGGACACAGTAGATGGTAATGAGTCTCCCCTCATTGGACCATTCAAGCAAATAGTTGACAGCACTTCTTAGGTGTGTTATAGTGGGGAATCCTTTTTGGGTAATGTTTGAACTAGATGGCCTTTAAGGTCACTTTCAAACTCTAAAATTCTGTTGTTCTTTAAACTTTCTGAGGGGAGGGAAGATGCTGTATTTGTCTGTTATGGTTTCCAGTGCCTAAAGTGGCTCATTGTATTGCAATGTAATGAATTATACATAGAAGTTAAATTGGTTGTTAAATAACTTAGTTTTTATCTTATTTCCCCACAAACTCATTGCCATCCTCTATCCAATGGCATCACTTTCGAGTGAATGCCCCACTGCTGTACAGATTTACTTCATGGAATCTCCTAGGTATCTCCTGACATGTCAAAGAACAATTCCAAGCTGGGTCAGTTTGTCTCAAAGACCATATTAACCAGTTCGGTGGGCACCATGCATAGATCCTGTCTCATGGCTGTTTGATCTGGACAATAGAAAAGTCCTTTCAGAAATAAATGTCACCCTCTATTCCTGATGAAAGGCCTGAGGAGATGAGGCAGGATCACAGAGGGACAATAACTTCCTGATCATTAGGAAATATCACTGCCAAATTTAGGACAATTCACCTTGGGCAGTGACAGCCAATGGTTCATTATTGAATTTTTATAAAATATCCACATAATGTGAGCTTAAATAGAGGAGCCATTGACCAAGTTGACAGGGAATCATCCCAGGGCTCTGGGAATGATCAATGACTGTAGTAGCACCATGCTTTGCCTTCTCAAGCACAGCTCTCATGGTGTAACATGGCAGATTCAGAAAGTCCAGCCCCATCAACAGAGGGACAAGGGGCCTTAGGTAGTCTTGGTGTTACTCTGCCAGCCCAACTACTCAATGAAATGGGGAAACTCAACTTCTGGGCCCCATGGGAGGCCATGAGGCTTACAATGGCAAAAGGATGCACCTAGGCCCAGTAAGGGAAGCAAATTGCCTCTTGGTGCTTGCCTCTGCTTGTCCCCCTTTTAAAGCTATATGCATCTGGTTGATCCAATCTAGAGGCTCATTTGTTTTGACTTAACTGATTTTTTTTTCTTTGTTCCAAGGATAGGCTTAGTGGTCAGTGGGTTTAAGAGAAGGGCAGATATCAGAATGAGGGTATATAGGCAGTACAGTGGATAGTGTTGGGCCTGGAGTCAGCAAGACTCATCTCACTGAGTTAAAATCTGGCCTCAGACACTTACTAGCTGCATGCAAGTTACTTAACCATGTTTGCCTCAGTTTCCTCATATGTGAAATGAACTGGAGAAGGAACTGGCAAACCGCTTTAGAATCTTTGCCAAGAAAACACCAAATGAGGTCACAAAGAGTCAGACACAACTGAAAAATGACTGGATAACCACAAAAAGATCTAAGAAAGACTGTGATGTAAAAACAGAAGGAATCAGTAAAAAAAAATTAAAAACAAAATGAAAGAAAAATAGGGAATTGCTATGAGCTTCTTCTAGTAATGCTCTATATACAGTTTATGTATGGCATACATGTGTATGTATGTGCGTAGGGGAGTATTTTTCAATTTAAGTTGGTAAAAGTGGAATGGGTGACCTCTGAATGTTGTTGGGTGGCTCCCCATTCTTACAGGTCTTCAAGCAGAGGTTAGTCAATCAACTGTCAAGGATGTTATACTGGGGATTCTTTTGGTGTATGACATGAGGTGCCTGGATGCTTCCTGAGGTTACTCCCACTGAGGGGATTTTTCTGTGGCATATCCTATGACCCACACTTCAACCGTCGCTTTAGCCTCTCCGCTTTTGGACGTCCTCTGCTGACAAACGTACCTGATGAACAATTCTCTTCCTTTTAATGTTGAATATTGGTTGTTACCTCCCTGACTAATTATCCATGACACCATTTACTGGTAGAGACAGATGATCATGGATTTGACATTGGAGGGGACCCCAGGAAACACCTCATCCAGACTCTTCATTTTACAAATGAGGAAACTGAATGTCATAGGGATTAAGCAGCACGTCCAAGTTCACCCAGGTCTTGGCTTCCGGTCCCCTGGCATTCCTTTATTATGTTGTCTGGATCTGAATTTCTGCCCATTGCTCTAACCTCAGTCACCAGGGCTAGGAGAAGGTACATCAGCTTTTTAACCACAAGGAAAATGTCCCTAGACAATCGAATGAGAAAGAAGAGGAAGTTAACATCCTAGGTTAACATATTATTAAAATTGTTTAAATAATATGCAGATGGCACAAATATAAAAGCCATTCCTGATCTGCTTCCATGCTAGAGCCCTCCCTCTGTTCTTCATTTGCAATTACTCCTTTTTCTGGCTTGCTTGTCATAGTTGTTTGCATGTTTTCTTCTCTATCCAATTGTGAAATCTTTGAGAGAAGGGACAGTTTTTTGCCTTTCTTTGTACCTTTAATTCCTAGAACAGTGCCTGACACATAGTAAGCGCTTAATAAGTACTTAATGACCAAATGACTGTCACTTTAGCAAGCACTTTAGCCATCCATCCATCTGTTCATTCATACCTTACACACAGCATTGGGGTGTATGGGATGTTCTGGAGGACTAGCACCTCGGTATGAGGTCTTGCCAAGCCCTTTTCATGGCTGCTCATCCAACTTTGCTGTCTACCTGTCACCCAAGTCACACCTGTGGCCCCAAGAAGCTATAGCATGCACAGTGGCCACTTCTGGTAAACCATCTTGTCAGACTGGCTAAACCAGGTTGAATGTAACTGACAGACTGCAAACCCATTGGTGAGTCGGGCGGGTGTCTACCCCAAGCATATGAAGAGTTCCCCCAGCGGAATAGTCGGATCAGAACAATTTGTTCCAATGGCCATGAACAAGGCTGAAGCAGGCACGGTGGAGTGCTTAGAACTTGGTCAGACATTGAAGGTGCCAAGGTCATCCACTGCATCCCAGGCCATCACCAGTCTTCTTGACTTCTGCCTTGCCACTGGAATTCAATGACTAAGGAAGAGAGAGTGAGGCTGATAACCTTGTGAAAGTCTGGCTCATTTAAATGCAATTTGTGCACAAGTCAAGACATCACCTGTGACGTCATCGTTCCTCTTGGACAATGAAGAGCAAACAGCGACAGCTGCCACAACAGAAGCGCTCAGCGTTGCAATCCCCCAGTCTGAAAATCTTCCCTGCCTGTCCTTCCTGCCCAGGATTTGCTCCCATATAATCCCTTCCTCCTAGCTTCCATGGCTTCTCTTCAATCTCAGCTAAAATGCCATGTGGCTTGAAAGCCTTTCTCTAGACTCTTTCATCTCAGTTGTTGCTTACTCATGTCTAATATTTCATGATGCCATTGAAGGTTTGCTTAGTAAAAATATCGGAGTGGTTTGCCATTACCTTCTTCAGCTCATTTTATAGATGGAGAAACTGAAGTAAACAGAGTTAAGTGACTTGCCCGTGGTCGCACAGCTAGTAAGTGTCTGAGGCCAGATTTAACTGAGGTCTTCCTGACTCTAGGCCTGGATTTCTATCCATGCACCACCCAGCTGCCAATAATCTTAGTGCCTTCCCCAGACTGATCATTTATAATTTAAACTGTTTTGAGCTTATTATTCACGGTTATTTTCAAGTCCTCCCCCCCACCCCCAATTGTCATCTCCTAGAGAACAGAACTATCTTTTAGCCTTTCTTTGTGTCCCTAGTACTCATTACAGGGCCTGGAATGTAGCAGGTACTTAATAAATGCTTGGTGACTTAACAACAACTTGGCTTCAATTGAGCTTTACTAAATTAATCTGATCTTACTGCCTACCATGGGCCTTGCCTCCTTTCCTGCTTTCCCTCTTGATGGTCTTCATCTATCAAACCTTCTATCTCTCACCTGTGAGTGATTGTAAAGGCTGCCACCCCCATGCCTGAAAGATGATCTTTCCATATGTGAAATTATGCATTTCTCTATGTGTGTATGTGGTACTTCTCCCCCAATACCTCTGAGCTGCTTGAGGGCAGGAAAGATATCCCTTTTGAAATTGTGTCTTTAACATGGTAAGACCCATAGGAAAAACTCCTCTAATGTTGGCTGAACTGAACTGAATGTGGTCTTCTAAGGAACATTGCTTTCCAAACCCTTACTACTTCCTTCTAATGCCCTCCGCAATGATGTTCTTGATGTATTTGGGGATTATCTTCATCAAATTTGTATAGAAATGGGAAAGCAGCCAATGCATGACTGACTCTTGATGCTCTCTTGGGTACTTCTTTTTGGCTAGTAAGATCCAAGATCCTCTCACTCCAATTCTTTGGTGTCCGTTCATTCAGGTACCTTAAGGATCTAATCATTCTACCATTTAATAAATATTTATTGAAGACTTACTGTTCTCTAGGAATTTTATTAAGTGCTAAAAACACAAAGAATGGCAACCTTGCTATGCCCCACTAAAACCAAAAAAAAGTGGTCCCTGCCCTCAAGAATCTCATCTTATAATGCAAATAACCATGTACATGCTATTGTATATATTCATATATATACATATATAATACACACATGTTTATGTGTGTATGTATGTGTGTGTGTATATATATATACACACACACATACATTATACACACACACACACACACACAATCAATGAAAGATAATCTCAGAATAAATGTTCTGGCAGTGGGAGGAGATACCAGGAAAGGCTTCTTGCAGAGGAATGAATTTCTGCTGAGTCATAAAGGAGGCCAGTGTACTGCATAATAAAATACTTGAAGAGTGGTAAGGCATAAGAATTCTGGGAAGGCAAGAACGGACCAGGTTGTGAAAGCCTTCAAAAGCCAAATAAGGGATTTTATATTTGATCTTGGAAGTCATTGGGAGCCACTGATTTATTGAGTAGGGAGGTAACGTGGACAGTTCTGTGCTTTAGAAAAATTGCTTTGGGAGATGAATAGAGGATGGATTGTAGTGGGGAGTGAATTGAGGCAGATAGAATAATCAGAAAACTATTGCAAAACTCTCTCCCTTACCATTTTCAAAACTGTATTACCTGGACCTTTGACTATGTTGTTCAGCAATTTCTCAGTCATATCTGACCCTTTGTTACCCCATCTGGGGTTTTCCTGGCAGAGATACTGGAATGATTTGCTATTCCTTTCTCCAGCTCACTTTACATGTGCGGAAACTAAGGCAAACTGCGTAAGTGACTTGCCCAGGGTCACACTGCTAAAAACTGTCTGAGGCCAGGTTTGAGCTCAGTGAGATGAGTTTTCCTGACTCCAGGTCTGTTCTATCCACTGAGGCATCTAGCTACCCATGCTTGCTCTTACTCCAACCTGATTTCAACTCCACAGAATAAGATGTCACCTCCAGGATAAGCTCATCACTTTTAATCTCATCACCAGGATATTACCAGAAGCCCTGACACCACCCTCCTCAGCTTCCTGTCCCCTCTGAATGGAGTGCTAGAGGGTAGAGTATGGAACTCATCCGAAATTCTTCCTTAATAGAGGGCAGAAATTGGACTACCAGCTCCATCCCCTGTGCCTGGTTTAAACTCAGGAACAAAATGTCCTTCCACCATGTATCCCCTGATATCCCATCCCCACCTTCCTGTCATGCCTTCTTTTATGTGCTATTCTCACCCATCAGATTGCAAGCTCTTTGAGGGCAGAGGCTTATGTTTCTTAGTTGTTTTCCCAGAACTTAGCACAGTGCCTGGCTCATAGTAGGCACTTAATGTTTATTGAATTAAGTTGCTCTGGTTTAGTTTTCCCTCATCTTTGTTGTCTTCAGCATCATTTCTACCTCCTCAAGAATCACAGCTGGCATCTTGGTGTCCATGCTTAAATTCAACGGTTCTATTGTCATTGACAGTGAAGGATGTGGTATATACAAGTTGTCAGATTTTTACCAACTTTAGTTGGATTTTGACCATTTTCAGTGTCATCCTTAAGTGCTTATAAAGAAACAAACAAAAAAAAAACTTTCCATATTTGGCTTTCTCACCAAATATATTTTAAACTACTTTCTCCTCAAAGTTTTGCTGTCTTATGATGAAACACTTTTAAAAAATTTTTTTTGGATAATTGAGTTTCCGAATCTTGCCCAAACTGAAGTTGCAGTGGTCACTGGTGGGCCTGATCCCATAATGATCAGCATGGGAGGTATTGGCATACTCCATTTCTGAGCTGGATTGATTCACTACTTTACAGGTATCCTTGTACCTCCACAGTCCCGGGGACTTACAAAAAAAAGTTACAAAACGAGACTCAGAATGAACTCTTGATCAGTTTAGCCCACTGCAGCTCAGAACTCCCAAGCTCCAGTGATTCACTAGCTTCAGCCTCCCCCAGCAGCAGGTATTATAAGAGTAGGCAACCACCCTAGGCTAAGCAACCTCTTCCCACTCTTCCACCATCTGCTCTATAAGATTTTGCAATCAAGTTTATATTTCTAACCTTTACCAATTGAAAGAAAATTAATTTCAGCATGATTTACTAGGTGCTTGCTTCACAAGTGCTTAGCATATGTTTGGATTAATTCAATGCCTTTCCACTGTAACTAGGATTCAGGTCCTTATCTTGCATTTTGGTAACTATTCAACCCTGGGCAAGCCAGTCAAGGACTCTTAGCCTCAGTTTTCTCAGTTTTCTCTTAGCCTGTAAAATGAAAACATTAATTCCTACCCTGCCTTTCTTCCACAGGACTGTTGGGTAACTCAAATGAGATAATGAATTGAAAGGCTTATTGAAAAATGCTGAGGTTGACCAAAAGGCCGAGTGTCATGACTCAAGCTGATTTCTTCTTCTGTATCTGACCTTCAGTTGTACCTCCGAGATACACCGTGGAACTGGCCTGTGGATTTGCAGTGACAATTGTGCTCATCATCCTTCTGATTGTTGTCTACCATGTGTACTGGCTGGAGATGGTCTTGTTCTACCGGGCTCACTTTGGGACAGATGAAGCCATTTTGGGTAAACAATCCACCTTTTTATAAACAGATTTTTCTGTTCTCTTCAGACCAAAGGTTTCACAAAGCTTGTTCATAAGATCTTAGAATTGTAAATTGAAACCCAGGAGGGGCCTTGAAGGCCACCTATTCCAGGTTGTTCTCTTTTGATGATTAAATATCTTATGATACCTTGAGATGATCATTATTCTCATGAAGCCCTATTGTATTGGACTACACTGAAAACAAAGCCCCAAACTCATGATGCCCAAGCCAGGGATTATCTCTGGGCCTAGCATTTTTGGAATGAACACTTGGTATGATTTTTTTTTCAATTTGCTCATTTTTTCTAATGAATGTGAGCACAGCAATCATTTTCCTGCTAATAGAGCTCAAATTGCTTCACGTGCATTAGTTTGATTCTCAGTGAAACTTCCAGTATACCTATTGTATACTTATTTTTCCTTAATTCCAGATAGAAGAAAAACATTGTGACAGCTTCTTGGTGAAAAGACAATAATGATATGAGACATATATGTGAATCAAGTTTTGTAGAATGGGGAATTTTTTTTTTTATGTTGGGAAGATTTGGGGGAAATCTCCCTTTCTGTAGAACTTTTGCCAATTGAATCTGAAATCACTGAGTTTTAATGGCCTTCATCCCATGACTGTATACCAGGCATGATGAAACTTCTAATTCATAGGGTGGGAAATTGGTAGAGAAGAGAATGAATCCAGTTTATCCATCCTTTAATCAATAAGAATTTCTGAATTGTGATGGAATCTTAACATTTTTGCACTTGAAAATGAATGCTTTTTAGTGATGTCCAATACTCAAAAATTATCTTGGGGTGAAGTGGTAGACCTGGGGAATTCTTCTCAGCTTGGCTCTTTGTACACCAAAGATGAAGCAGATATTAATGTTAAATTTGATTCATTCCATTGATACCTATTCACCCATATGACAGGTCCCTGAATATATAGATTTGTACAGAATGCATTTCATGTAGAGTAGTAACCATCTTTAGAATTTAATACTGTGCAATCGATCAATAAGCACATATTAAAGCACTTGATTTGTGGGGCCACATGTGGCCTTCTAGGGCCTTGCCTGTGGCCTTTTGACTGAGTCCAAGTTTTACAGAACAAATCCTTTTATAAGAGGTATTTGTTCTGTGAAGTTTGGATTCAGTCAAAGGACCACACTTGAAGACCTAGAGGGCCATATATGGTCTTGACACCACAGGTTCCCCACCCCTGTACTAGGGGATGCAAATACTGTCAAAAAGAGTCCTTGCTTTCAAGTAGCTCATATTCTATTGTTTATGGTTGCTGCACTTCATACATGGAAGGAACTTTAGAGACCGTCTATTCCAAACCAGACCTTAAAAAATGACCCATTTTACAATGTATCCGAACAAGAGGTCAGTCTTTTTGGTCTTGTACCCATCATGCACATTTGTATGGCTCCAATGTGGCCATATTGTTTGCTGTGACATCTGAACTACATTGAAGTGGAGAATCACATAAAATTAAATTTTATTAGATCTTTTTCTCAAATTAGCTACTTCTGTAGAATTGTTCGTAATACCTAGCCAAATCACTCCCAGCTCATAGGATCACAAACGATTAATTTCAGAGTTGGGAGAGACCTTTGAGGCCGTAGAGTCTTACCCCTTCATTTGGCTGGTGAGGAAGTTGAGGCACATAGAAGTTAATCAGAGTTGGATACCTTGCCCAGGGACACCGAGCTAGATAGCAAAAAAGAAGGTGTCTTACATCCAGAAGCTAGATTTAAGGGTGCAAAAGGGTCTCTAAAGAGAGCAACTTTTCTGGCTGGTGACAAGTATTGCATGTGTGTTTTCTTTGGCTAGATGGGAAGGAGTATGATATTTACGTTTCGTATGCACGGAATGCTGAAGAAGAGGAATTTGTCCTTCTTACTCTCCGCGGAGTCTTGGAGAATGAATTTGGATACAAGCTATGCATCTTTGACAGAGATAGCCTGCCTGGGGGAAGTAGGTATTTCCCTGAGCAGTGGCTAGAGAAGCCAGGTTTCTCATCCCCAGCTTCAGAATTGGGATTAGTGTTGTTTCTTACTTCTATACAGGTCCTCCTAATCATCCCAACCTATCCAACAAACACTCATTATATCCCTACCTCCTGGGACCCAGTCACTCTCCTGAGTGGCAGGGCTCCAGACAAAAACAGGATAGCCCCTGACTTCGAGAAGCTTACATTTCTTCTGGGGTGAAGCAATACAGAAACAATTTATTTTAATACAACTAGAAATTATTAAATATCTATTTAAATGAGATATGAGAGTAAAGCACACACCTTATATTGCTTTACAAATGATAGCTATGATGATGATAATGATAATCATCATTATTATCATTACTCTTTGTCAGTCAGCAAGGGTGTATCAACATACACTGTGTCCTAGGCACTGTGATAAGCAATAGAGATACAAACAAAGGCTAAAACAAAAACGAAACCAAACAAAAACATGGTTGTTTCTCTCAAGAAACTCTCATTGCAATGTGGGAAAATACCATATAAAAAACTGTACAGTCTTTATGTGAAGCATTGAGGATCCCAAGACTGAAATGAAACACCGTCTGCCCGTCAGGAAGCTTCTGTTTTCCTGAGTGAAAATAGCACATGTGCAATGCAATTTGAATCAATATACACTTATTAAACAACTACTATATACCAAGAACTACCGTTCTTAATAGAAACATGCAAATAGAACAGTTCTTACCTCAAAGAACTTACATTCATATGGCTTTTTATTTCTGGAAATGGTAGAAGGTAATATGTATAAAAGGTTATCCCAATTTAACAGGGCTCCCGCCATTTCCCAGTTCAAATATGGTTTCAGGAGTGACTCATAGTAATTAGCTCATCAAAGCTCTCTGAGCATGTAGAGATGCCAGTTGTAGGCAATCTTGAAGATGTCCTTGCCCACTTTTTACAAATGTTCAGGCCAGTAAGTAAACATTTATTAATCACCTACTGTGTGTCAGGCACTGTGCTAAAGGTTGAGAATACAAAAAAAGAAGCAAAAGACCATCTTTGCCCTTGAAGAGCTCACAATCTAATGTTAAGACAACCAAATAATCTGTGCAAACAAGCTATTCACAGGAAAATGAGGAAATAATCAATGGAGAGAAGATACAGGAACTGAAAGGGTTTGGGAAAGGCTTCATATAGAAGGTGGGATTGAAGCTGGGTCTTGTAGGAAGCTAAGGAAGCCTGGAGGTACTTGCAAATGGGAGGGTGACTCCCATTGCACCTGGCCTCTTTCACTTTATTTCAACACACAATTATTTCAAAATTTTCTATGTGCTATGCACTGTTAGATATTGCAGAAACTGAGACAAAACAATGCAGTTTTTACCCTCAAGGAGCATTACTCTGCATCTTAGAATTCTTCAAGCCAAAGACTTCCTGAGAAAAACTTAGCAGATTTTGAGGAGAACTCCTAGAACAGGTATTATATTATTTTGGGTCATGGATACTTTTGGACAGTCCAGGAAAGCCTATGGACCTCTTCTTAGAACTGTGTTTTTAAATAGTTGAGAGAAATGCTGAATTTCAGCTAGATGAAAAAGAAAACAAAGATATGCCCCCCACCCCATCCAAGTTTATGATCTCCCTGAAATCTTTCCATAGACTCCTAGGGAGGTCTATGCATCCTGGCTTAGGAACCTCTGTCTTAGAGAGTTTCTTTTTAGATCAATTTCAGATGCCTCTGTGGTTGGATTGATGCTCATTTGTCTCTCTTTAAGTCCATGGTAGCATAGAAAGGGGCTATGCCCTTCCCACTGCCTTGGACCCTTCCTTTCACCTTGATTACAGAGGTCTCAGAAGATGAGAGGCTCATAGGTGGAGAGTTGGAGGAGGCTTGCGAGATTATTTCATCCAGGGCATAAGAGATGAATGAAGAAATAAAATATAAATTCTAACTGTTATTTAATTGAAATATTTTTAAATTTTTATATTTAAATATATTATTTAAATATTTTTAATTTAAATTTTACATTATAATTTTGCTTTATCTGCACAACTCCTTTCTCCTTCCCACTACTGTTCACATTATCAAAAAATAGGCTAGACATTTATTCAGACTGAGAGGAGGAAGGATGCCCCACTGTAATAAGTCTACAATTCAGAATGTTTGCAAGGAAATGCAACTTTGCTGCTGAAGAGCCCATGGAATATTGCCAAACAGTGGTGAACAGAGCTACCAGATGAAGGTCCTCGCAGGCCTGCTTTCATATGCCGTTAAGAATCCATTTTCATTAGCTTATCCCTCAAGTGGTGACTGTTAAAATGTCTGAACCCAGCAATCTGTTCTCTTCGGCAGCTGACATTTCCCTGCCTTGCCTTCACTCTTCTTAGAGGCAGCTGTAGCACAGTGCCTGGCACACAGTAGGTGTTTAATGAATGGCTTAGTTCCCATGAATCACAGACACTCCCCCCCCCATCTCCTTTATAGGGATACATTAGAAGAAGGCTGGCTTGATATTTCCTTCATTTGGGATTAGTGGGAGGGCATGCCCCTACTGGGTTCAACATTAGATTTCTCTAGCACTGTAACTCACCAGGAATTCAGACTGGGTTCCATCTTCATTTCATTCATAAAACCAAATTGACTTCTCAGGAGGCATTCTCTCAAAGAAAACAGTGAAGGATAAACGTAATGTCCAGTGATCTCACCTCCACTATGTATGGAGCTGTATGAGGCCATCCCCTGCCCTCACAAACTCTGTAGTTCACAGTAGACCTTGAATTGAAGTATTGGGTCATAGTATCAGGCTGAGAGGTATAAGGAATGTTAGAAGCTGTCATGTCTAACTCTCTTTTTTCAGAGGAGGCACCGAGGCCCAGAGAGCTGACCTGACATGCCCTGGGTCTCCCAGCTTTTAAGTGGTTTAGGTGGGATGGGAACCTGTGCTTTCCTGACTCTCGATCATTCACGCTGCCTCTCAACACTGCCAATCACTATAGAGAGTGGGGATGATTGGAGTGCTGCGGGACTGTGGAGAGTCCAATTTTACCAAACAGTATCATTGCTCCTTTGAAAGGTCATATGGCTCATCTACACTGCATGTAGTCACAACCAAAATATCATGACGATCACTCCAGCGCCATCCCTCTGCAGCATCTGTCCCTGCCTGGCCCTTTCCAGGGGCCTCTTCCTTTTGGCCCTGGTCCTTCTCTCTCTTATTTTCCTCCTTTTATCTCTGAGTAGCTGTTGGCCGTGCTGTGTGGAGTGGATGCTCCATTTGGCCCCGGCCCCTGGGCTATCATTTCAGGATTCTCACTGCCACCTCTCTGCTTCTAGAGATTAGGAGGATGCTGCTGGTGCTCATGAGAGCATGGCAAGCTGTGTAATAGGCTCCCTCTGCCAGCATGGGTCCTGGAGTGCGTGTTCCCCTGTTCTGGTGAGAGGATTACAGAGGCTTGATAAGCAGACACCAGGAGATGGATTATCTCTGAGAGTCTGGGACAGGAAATGAGCAGGATCTTAGAAAGAGGAATCAAGTCACTCAAAATGTCTTCCCCCTCACTCTTCCACACTATATTCTTTTTTCCCGACCAAAAGGAAATATTTGCTTCTCAGTGAAACACAGACATATCAGACAGTCACTGCAGAGACATTTGCTCTACTGCAATGTGAGTTTAGGGAGGGAAAATATAGGGGCTAATTTCTACCACTGAGCCCAGACCTCAGAGCTAAGAGCAGAGGTTCTTTTCTTCTCCCAAACGTCACTCAGTTGTTGGACGTGTGTGCTTCTCTTTTCTTCAGAAGATGCTGTCCAAGGATGATGTCACATTGCTAAAGTCAAAAGGGTAGGAAGGACTGAAATGTGGCTTTAGGAACTTTGGGAAAAAATGAAAGGGTCATGCTTTGTTTCTGTCCAGTGCTACCAAAATTAACATTAATAATAGCTGTCATTTTCTGAGCATTATAAAGTGAGGCCTCTTACAGATAATACTTTAGTTGAGTCTCTTGGAGGCTAGTGAAGACAGAAGAGGTAGAAGGATGATAGATTCAAATTCAGTGGGGCCTTCAAAAATCTTCAGTCCCAACCCTTGTTTTTATAAGCAACTTTAAGAAATGCCTTTTCATTTACTCATTCATTCATTTAGTCCAATTCTCTCCTCTTACAGGAAACAACCATTTACTAAGGGCTTACTTTGTGTCAGACACTGGAACAGTGTCTGTAAGTAAGAGAATGTGAAACGCTCTGGATATCAACAAAAGGCAAAAAGCAGTCCCTGCCCTCAAGGAGCTAATCCTCTCATGGAGGAGACAGATTACAACTAGCAATGTTTAGAAGAAGTAAAGTTGAGCTGAGGCTTGGGGAAGTCAGAGAGTTCAGAGACACTGGGGATGGGACAAAGTATTCCAGGAAGGGAACACAAAGGCTTTTGCCAGTACAATGGGTTCTGATGAGCTATATGGGTCACTTAGGAATATTCCAAAGGTATGCTTCTAGAATCATGGAATCATAGGCTTGAAGCAGGTGGGCTCCTCAGAAGACATCTTATCCAACCCCCTTGTTTCAAAGAAGAGGAAGTGGAAGCACAAGGAAGATGAGTGGATTGCCTAGAGTGATGTGGGATGCAAGTGGGAACACCAAGATTCAAAACTTAGCCCCTCTGACTCCCAATCCAGCATTCTTATCTACGGGATTCTATTTGTCTTTTTTCTTCTTCAGAGAGCACCCCCACAGGCACATCTCTGGGTGTCAATGGAGGAAGACCAGCCTAGCTCCATGTCACAGAACCTCCCATGATCCAAGCCCTACATCTTATTCTAGTCCTTGGATTGGGGGATGTTCTCAACTGATTTGATCTTCTAGCCTGCCTGCCTCTCCCTGTTGCCTAGAAAAGAGTTCTTTCTGTTATTTTAAATTTTCACTTTCATTTCCAAATTTTGTCCTTCACTTCACCTATCTCTCCTCTACTCATTGAGAAGGTAAAAAAAAAATGATACCCAGTA